TTATGGAGACTCCTCTTCAAGGCACTGTGCCCCAGGTTGGGGAGCCACGTGTGGTGCTGGGAGCCCTTGCTCCTCGAGGATGACCTCCACAGCTCAGATATCCCTCCTATTATTTGAATTGGATTTTGGTTACATGAAATAAGGAAAATCATTCAGTGATTTGATTTTTCCACTGTGCTTTTGTTACAAGGGTTCTGGAAAACAATCAGTGGTCTATAGCAACTGAATAAATGCCCACTGAAGAAAAAGTCATTAATGGGAAATTTCATGGTGTAAAGTATATTCATTTTTGCCCTACTCCCTCCACGGTGTAGCATGGTTGGGAAAAAGCAGCCACCTATCTCCTAGTGAACTCTCTAAAATAAAATAAGGGAGCAAACCACTTACTTGCAACATTCTAATGTGTCTAGGGCTGCCTGAGGACCTGGTCCCTGTTTCACTTAACTTGGCTCAGATCTCAGGCTTGGAAAGGCTGCAGAGAGACTATAGATCTGGAGATGCTTTAGCAAGAAACGGGGGTAGAGAAACAAAAGAATATCTGAGGTGCTGAGAAGTCAGGAAAATCTGGAAAAATACATTTAAAGACAGCCATTAACACCATATTGCTCCACTCTGGTGATTACCTGAGACCCCAACTTATTTACGTGGCCTGATTCTTTTCACAAAGTAAAGCTCCCAAAGCACTTGGTGAGACCACACTAGAGCACTACCAACCAACTCTACAATTGACACCGCTGAAGGGTGAACTCAGCCCTTACACAGCAGCTCATAGCTAGAGCCAGTGCACCTGAGGATTAACCCCACGCACTGACATGCAGCACACCTTCTACATAAGACCTCTCTGCTGAGACTGGGAAAGGTAGCAGATCTACTTAATGTATAGAATCAAGCACGGAATCAACCAAAATGAAGACATGATCATGTCCCAAATGAAAGAAACAGGACACAACTCCAGAAAAGAGAACTAAATAAAATAGAGACAAGCATAGTACGGGTTATAAGGATGCTCAATGAACTTCAGGGAAGAATGTTGAGGTTCTCAGTGAGTTCATCTAAAGAGAAACCATGCAAAAGGACCTGTGGGAAATGAAGACTACAGCAGAGGATTAAATCAGCAATGCAGAAGACATGGTGGTAGAAAACAAATCAGAACAGCAAAAGAATTTAAGTGATGAGAGTTTAGGGACCTCTGGTACATCATCGAGCATACTAACATTTGTATCATAGTGCTGCCAAAGGAGAAGAAAGGGATTGAAAACATCCCTAACCTGGTGAGTGAAATAGACATACAAGTCCAGGAAGCACACAATTCCAAGGAAAATGAACCTAAAGAGGTGCACACCAAGACCTATCATAATCGAAGTACCAAAGGTTAAAGGCAAAGGGAGAATCTCAAAAGCAGTTATGTAAAAGGGAGCTCCCATAAGACACTCAGCTCAATTATATTTAAAGTTTTTGGGTTTTTCTTTTTAAACTGCAAGTCAAAAATTCTATACCTGTCAATATAGTTTTGCTTCCCAAATAAGTAGAAGCTGAGTTCATTACCACTACACCTGCCCTGCAAGAATGAAGTCTTTAAAATTGAAACAAGTCATTAGACAATAACTCAAAGCCATAACATTTTTTCTTATACAGAATTGCAAAGAAAAACAATTTTAAGTCTAATGGGTACAATATATAAAGATACACTTTGTAATGTCAATGAAGAGGTGGAGCTATAAAACATTTTATATGCGATTGGGTTGGTATTAATTTAAATAGGTTGTTAGCATATTATATGTAATCCCTCTGTTAACCAGAAAGAAAATAACTACATTCACTCAACACTTAATAAGAAATGTTCTGTGAAATGCATTAAGCGATTACATTGAGCATTCGTATACCAGTAGTGTACTTATACAAACCTAGATGCTATACATAGGCCAATGGAATAGAATAGAGAGCCCAGGAAGAAATCCTTGCACAAATTGTCTAATATTTGATACAGGTGTTCAATGGGGAAATGAAAGTTTTTCTTCAACAACTGGTCCTAGGAAATCAGAATAACCAAGTGTAAAGTCGGACTCTTACCTAACAGAAAAGTTAATAGATCAGAAACCTAGATCAGAAACCTAAACATAAGAGCTAAAACTCTTGGAAGAAAACAGGGGAGAAGCTCCATAGAACTAGATTTCTTGGCTATCACAACAGAAGCACAAGCTACAAAAGAGAAATTGGACTTGATCAATATAAAGAACTCTTACAACTCAACACATAAAACCCAATTTGAAAATGAGCAAAGCTGAACAGACCATTCACAAATGGCCAATAAATACATTAGATGCTCACCATAACTAATAATTAAGGAAATGCAAATCAAAACCACAAAGATAGTGCTCTATGCCCATTGAGAAGATTATTATAAACAAAAAAGCAGAAAATGTAGAGAAATTCAAACTGTGTGCGTTGCAAAATAGTGTAGTCACTGTGGAAAACAGTATGATGGGTTCTTTAAAAATTACACACGGAATTTTCATATGTTACAGCACTTCCATATCAGTGTGGGTGTGTATTTTAGAGGCCCTGTGCATAAATTCGTGCTTGGGTGGGAAGACTGGGCAGTTGGCCAGCCTGCCTGCTGATTGAATTCCTGGTTGAGGGGATAATTTGCATATTAGCCTTTATTATATAGAATATACACTGGCCAGATTATTATGTATTCAGAGATAATAATCTGGCCATTCAGTATATATCCTTAAAAGAACTGAAACGGACTCATACTTGTACTCCCAAGTTCATACGGCAGCATTCACAATAACCAAAAGCTAGAAACAACCCAAATGTTCATGATGGGTAAATAAAATGTGATGTATATACATACAATGGGATATTATTCAGCAATAAAAATGAGGGAAATTTACCTTGAACACATTATGCTAAGTGAAATAAGCCAGACTAATATTCCACTTCTGAGGTATTTAGTCACATTCATAAAAGCAACTCAATAGAATGGGGTGGAATGGGAGGTATTGTCTAATGAGTACAGAGCTTCAGTTGGGCATCTAGAACCCAGCAAAAAAATAAAATTAGCAAGTAGATCAACACATAACAAAATGTTAAATAAGCAAATGACTTCATTTGTACAAAGTCCAAATATAGGCAAAACCAAGCATCCTTTTTAGAAATACCAACATAATGTATGTGGGGGGGAGGGGAGCAGGGAACAAGAGGATGATTATTCCAGAAGTCAGGATAGTGGTGGTACCTGGTGTCAAAGAGTTGGATACATTTCACAATTTTGTAAAAGGCAATGAGCCCACCACCCCCACCCCCTAAAAATGAGCCTTCTCCATATTTTACTTACCAGATAAGTTTATACTTTGAAATAAGGCTGGAAAAATAAAAAAACACCACAGTACTTTTGAGTAGACTAAAAATTGGATCTATTCTGCTTTTCCTCTCAGAAATAACATAGTTCCAAAACTTTATTCTCCCAGGTATTTTAAGATTATACACCTAAAGATGCCCACATCACTATGTTGCCTGATAGTAACTTCTCACTAAATAAAACATTAACTAGATATGAGTTAAATGTTCTTACAAACTGATCTACTAGATAAGCATTTATGGTTATTCTATGATTTTTTGTGTTTGAAATAGTTTTGATGTAAATATGAATGCTGTTCACATCAAATTAACAATACAATTTTAGCTCATTTAGAGCCATCAATTCCACCAACTTTTGAATCCCTAAAAGTAAAACAGACACACAGATAGGTATAGTATTTAATCGAAATATATTTGTCTAATATCTACAAAGTGTGAACATTTGGTCTTAAGAAAGCAGACAAAAGGCACAAGTTAGTATTACTACAGAGAAGCATTCATGCTACTGGATTTTATAAATATTCTTCAGAGTGGCACAGTAAAAAAATAAGCAGTAAGCAAGAATCAAATGTTATTTTTTTCCTTCCTTTATATTCTAGTGTCTTGATCTCGTTTGTAAAGGCTGAGGACTGAAATTCAACTGAAACCATGGAACACTTAGGCAGGCTTCATTTTAATCACAGTGGTTTTCTTGCAGAGTTTGGGTCAATTAATAGAGGTGAACTAAAAAAAAAATCCACAGGAAATTTCCCCCCCAAAACTAAATACAAGATTGAGGCTGTGGTTGTGCATGTTTATTATATGCATGCATGTATTTAACTTCTAAAGCCCTTTTTTCATCATAAAAGTAGTGAAGTCTCCATATGACTTGCTTTCTACTGTAAAAGCAGCAGCTTTTAAAAAATGTATGACTAATGCTTGGAGCAGAATAAATGGTCAGTGTCTGGGGCAAGAAGATGGGAGGCAAATTCCAAGGTGAGCCTGGCTCTAGGTTTTCCCAGAGGTGCTCCACTCAGAAAGGCGCTGGCGTAAACCTGGAATAGCTTCCTGCCCGCTCCCATTCAGCAGCAAATAGCTGTGTCTGTCTCTGCGGTGTGGACAGGTGAAATGCTGCGGAGTGAGGGTGGGAATCACAATAATTTTGAAATGAGAAGAATAAGCCATTTTTACCAGATGGATATCAGCTGGGCCATGCCAATTCCTCCCCACCCCCGGCCTTTTGACAGGAGTTGACTACATGAGAATACTTTTGTAAATGCAAAACATTTTTGGAAGAGTGAAAAATAGAAAAGGCCAATCCTTATTGATAAAAAGGAGCCCATAATTACCCACTTAACTCTTGGTAAGTGCAGTATTTACATGTGTATTAGTCAGCAGACGTATACATGGCATGTGTGTGAACATAGAGTATGCCAAGAGCTCACAACTGTAGACACATGCCCCAAATGGCTCTTGAATAAACGTAATCCTATAGCAGAGTTTGGAGTACATTTTTCACAGTATAGAATTTCTCAGGTACCATTTCTTGAATGATATCAAGCGGTCTCAGTGAACACCAAGAGAACCTTGATACTGTACCACTTTAATTCCTACAAAAACGGGGCTCTTCCTGAAGGCTCCGCACCTCCACCCAGTCAGTGTGCCTTCCACAGGGGATTGAAGTAGACCCAGCCATCACCCTGTAAGAGAAGGGAGGAGACCTCTCAGCACAGGAAGGGGAGGAAGAGTCCAGACTGTAGGTTGGAAGCCCAGTACCACCATGCAAAGCACTGTTAGCATCTGCCAGGACCATCACCAGTATGTGTGTCTGCCTTGTTCCTGGCATCTCAGCTGTGCCGGGCTGGTGGTCTCACTACCCCTCCTCAGCTCTTAAAGCCCATATGATCTTTGCATGCTAGCAGTTTAAGAGGAAACCCCACAAAAACAACACAAGGTGGTGGGGGGTGGGGGCTTTGTTGGTTTATATAATGGAAGATTGAGAGGGAGGAGCTCTTTTAAACAGCAGGACAGGGTACATGTTGGATGAACAGACAAGGGAGAGAAAAGCAGAGACCTGCATGTGAGGAATTTGCCCAAACCAGTGATTTACAACCTATCAGCCTGGAGGGGGATGGCCAACAAACTCTCACCAGCAGGAGTAGTCACACACTAGAAATAGCACCAATCTAACACCAGGGAGAAAGGTAAGAATCAAGATGGTACCACTCCTGGTGGTAGGCTAGAAGGGCATATACTGAATGGTAACGATTCTGGTTTGGGGGTGATTTTTATTCCTTACATATCCTCAAGCCTACTCTTAGGAACATAGGGGCTTTTAGTAAGCTCAGCAGGGAACAGTATGTTTTCTTTTGTCATTTTGTTTTTTGAATGTGCATCTTTCCACAGAAGCCAGACAAGCTAGTCTCAGAGAGACCAGATCCACCTCACAGAAGGATCCTTGAAGGACTGTGCGATGGTTAATTGTATATGTCAACTTGGCAGGCCATGGGTGACCAGATTACACAATTTCTGGGTGTCTGTGTTTTGGGGTGAGATTAGCATTTGATTGGTAGATTCAGCAAAGGAGATTGCCTTCATCATCCAACTGAAAAGAAAACAAGTAGGAGGAGTCCACCTTCTGCCTCAATTTGGGACATCTCATCTGCCCAGACGGGGCATTTACACTACCGGCTCCCCAGTCCTCAGCTTTGGACTAAATTATACCATCAGCTTCCCGGGAGTCTCCAGTTTGCAAATGGCAGATCCTGGGGATTTTCAGCCTCCATAATTTATAAGCCAATTCCTCTAAATAAATCTACATGCAGTTATGTCTCCTGTTGGTTCTGTTGTTTCTCTGGTGAACCCTGACTGACAATACAGATTCATCTCACCTGGGCAAGGCTTCCAGACAGGATTCCATCTCAGTCTCATAAAGGCAGTCTCCCCAGCAGGCCTTCTGCCTGAGCCAGAATCCAACCTAGGCGTCTAGGGAACAGCGGCTGCTTTCTGCTCCTGACCCAGAGTCCATCTCACGATCACTAAGTCACCCGAGGCCTTCTTCCTACACAGTAACCCTTCCTTGTCACAAGCCTACCAGCACCTGAGCCAAAGAACGCCCAGACAGATCTCGATTGGTTCTCAGTGTTGACTTTTTTAAATTTGTAAACACCATGTGAAAACTTTGAAGAATTGGACAGTTTGTGATCTCCTGGAGGTAAGTGGCAGCCACCCTCTTTAGATACAAACCCACGTCTGCCCCCTCCTCCCAGCCTGTTTCTCATGGATGCTGCTGGCCTCTGCGCTCGCTCCCATTATTCCCACTTCTGTTAGACTGCTTCCCTGTAGCTCCACATGCCATTTCAGAGCACACAGTGCCTCGCCATTGCTCAGGGGTGGGATTTATTTCTGCCTCCGCATGTCACTTTCCTGCGTGGCAGCATCCAGGCACAGGATCGGGACGGCCTGACCTAGCATGTCTGACCCATTTGACCCACAGGAAGCGGCGCTCTGAAAAGGCAGTTCTCAGTGGTGAAGGTCCTAGCCCACCCGGTATGGAGCGGGCAGCAGGCACTTCGCTGCTGCTGACTGGGACAGCATCCAGGCCTGGCCCTCCCTGGCAGACCAATGGGCTTTCCTGACGGAGGATGCCAAGAGGGACAGGGTGCTCGGTTCTGCCCTCTCCTGCCCCATCTTTCTGTCCATCCGAACCACTGTGTTAGCCAAACAGACCCATCTGCCGCTCGGGACAAGCACCCAAACAGGCCGCCAAGTTACCTCCTGGATAAAGTACTTGGGCTGCCACGGGGTGCGGAGGTTCTCCCGCTTCCGCTCCTCCAACCGCTGCTTGTCCTCCAGGCGCCGCTTCTGCTCGGTGGCGGCATCGATGTCCCCCAGCCGCAGGTAGCGGGTCACCTCCCGCCAGAGGTTCCTGGGGGTGACAGGAGAGGAAGGGGTCAGGCAGGGACAGCAGGCTCAAAGAAGGTCATCCTCCGTAAGGGGGGGCCGGAGCGGGGAAGAGGACACCTGGGCAGGCCATCGTGGAGGCAGCTCATTCCAGGTGCCTCAAAGCGGCTGGAACCAAGGATTCAGGGCTACCCAGCTATGCTACTACAACAAAGCAGGCACAAGGTGTTCACCATATTTTCCTTGTATTTTACATATAAAAATCATCACAGTAACTCAATGACCCATGCTGTATTATCCCCATTTTAAAGGGAAGGAAAAACATGAGAGGTGAATTGCTCAAGGTTAGTGAGCTGATACATATGGACAATGGCTGGTTTCCCACAGGGAAACCCTGTATTAGGAGTTGGAATTCCCAGGACCACCCGGTTTGTACACTGTTCCAGGGGGTGAGGACAGGAACTGAGGGAGAGCAGGGCACCGTCACCCGTGCACTTCCTCAGCCACATCAGGATGAGGCGGGGCTGGGTCACAGCACTGTCCTTTTTATCACTCACCCTGACACATCTGGCGCCAGGGGAGGGATGGCGTAAGGACATCCCGGTAGGGGTGCTCCCAAGAGCAGGACCTCCCATGAGAAGCCTCATCCTAAGACAGTGGCCCCAAGTTTAGAAGGACTAGAGGGGAAGTAGGACTAGTAGGGAAGTAGCCCAAGGACTAGAGGGGAAGTAGGGAGAACTGGCCCCAGACAGCTCTGGCCAGACATACTCGGGGACCCAACTAACAGCACTACTAGGGTGGGGACTGGTGAGGAGGAGTTGGAGGCTCATCTGGGGAAGACTCTGAACTTCAAAAGGAAGGGCAGAAAGGTGAGGAAGGTGGAAGCAGGTCAGTGAGGAAAATAGGAAGTCCAGGGGAGCTTCATGGCAAAGGCCAGCGGGTGGCCGAGGCAGGGTTGTGGCTGGCATCACAGGGCACTGGCTCTGCGTTCATCCACCAGGGCTCCGGGCAAGGCAGGACATCTGCTCAAACCAAACTCGGCATCCAGAGCAAATGCATGGGTGTGGGCAGACAATGCAAGTATCTTCACTCTTCCCCGATGGGCAGTGGTTCCCTCCCCTCCAAGGGGGCTCGCCGGGGCCAGCATCACTGCAAGGGCTTGGAGAACTGGCCTAACCACTGCCCTCCCCCCCGCCCTCCTCCAGCCATGCAGGGAAGGCCTGGCTGACCTGCTACGTAGTAGGCTCAGGTGCTCTGAGCAGCAAGGGAACCCCTGGACCAGATACTCTACCACCTTCCAGGGCTATTTCCTAGGAACACAAGGTGGGCGGGGCTCAGTTTCCCTGCAGTTCAGCTCCATGTTTAGTCAAGTCTGCATATGTAAGCCAAAAAGAGGTGGCGCCCCTCTGTCTTACTCCCTTACCAGACCCCATCCCCACTCCTGGCTGAATTCCGAGTTCCCCTGGCTAAGAGAGGCGGCAGAGAGACTTGAGGAGAAGCTAACCTACTCCATATCCCTAGAACAGCAGCACAGGGCATCAGTCCTGTTCTAAGCTGCCAAACCAGCAACGACAGGCATGCCATGGTAGGAGCCGCAGGGTTCCTGGCCCTGGGAAGGCTCCTTTGGGGGCAAGGGGATAGCTCTCTTCCTGCCTGCAGCCCGTCCCTTGTCCTGTGATTATCGCCGGTGGTGGGCTGAGCTGAAAAAACCAGTGGGTGGCAGTTCATGCCCTCCATTTGGGCACAGAGAAGGTTACACTCTGTCCCCAAACAAGAACAGGAAAGTGTGCTGATCCTACAATGAAGCAGAGGTTCCAGAGGTACTGAGGTCCTGGTGGTGCTAAACTCAGTTACAATGTATGGTCCATACATTGCACTCTTGTATCCTGCCTCAATTTTACAGAATTCACACTACCCATTGGTTACAAACTCTTCCTGTGAAGGCAAACCTTTCACCGAATCATCTATAATTCCATTTTAATCCTACCTCGTAGTTCTAAAGAGCAGCATATGGTTTCAGATAAGGCAAATATTTTCTGTAAAGGGCCCAGCAGTAAACCTCTTGGTCTGGCAGGCCATATGGTCCCGGTCCCATCAACTTAATTGCCATTGTAGCAGGAAAGCAGGCATAACCAATAAACACGGGAATGTCCCCATAACGTTTTACAGAGAGCAGCTACAGGCTGGCTTTGGCCCCGAGCCACAGTTTGCTGACCTCCTGGATGATAAACCAAACGGGCTTATTCCACGCAGAGCCTGCCCGTGTGCCTGCATAAACATCACCCTAAGGGGTCGCGGCATATTCGTGCCATAACCCAGACATGCTAACTGGTCAGATCCTCTGAGTTTCTTAGCCTTTTCCTCCTGCTGAATAGGCAGGCGGGTGTTTTTTTTCTCTTGTTTAGGATTTTAAATAAATATATAGATATAAATATTTAATTTTAAGCTGAAACTTTCTGAATTTAAGAACTCTCCCTTAGAACAGATTCCTAGAAATACAACACAATGATCCATGAACCAAACCTCACACGTTCCTACCGTAAGCACAGGGTACAGCATGTCAATCTGATCACACCCTTGTCGGCCCTGAATTTTTTAAAATTACGTTGCTAATCTGGTAAGAAAGAAAAGTGCCTCGTGGCTTCGCTGCATGGTCCTTTGATTACTAGCAGCTCCTTGTGTTTAACTTTGGAATGAAGCAATAGGCCAGCTGAGCTGACAAACTCTCCGGGGACAGGCATGAAAAGTCTGCGGCAGACTGTCTTCACCCTCCACCCTCACCTGAAAGATCCAAAGGCTCGACTGCTCAATGGCATACCGAGAGAAATTTCAAATATCTCAACAAGTCAGAGCAGGATGCCCAGCCCGTGCCGTCCGCTGAGCTTTCTAAGGCTTCCTCTCTGTCCCCTGGGCCGAGCGCGGAGAGAAAGAGCTGGAGAGAAACGGCCTGGCCCCACCTGGACTCCATGGGCCCCTGCTTCTCCAGGGGGCGGATCTTCTTGGGGCACACTGGCAACGTGGTCGTGTCCACGACCTTGGTCTCTCCATTGTTGTAGGTGAACTCTAAGGTGCCGTTCCACTCCCCGTGGACTTTACAGACGATGGTGTTGGTCGGGTTGTGCTTCACCTCTGCCGTGACCCTGAAGGAAGGGAGGAAAATTGAACACGCTGTGCGAGATTCTAAAAACAGAGAGACTGGGAAAGTGGACTCACGTTGGGAGATTCTTTTCTTAATGGGGTGGCATGGAGAGGAATTTTTTTTTTTTAGTGTTTTGCTCAGAGTCTAGCTCTTAAAATGTGATCTAATGTCCGTGAACACAAAACGAAGCATTGATGGGCAAACTGGTGAGCGATGAATCAAGTCTAAAGATCAGTTAATAATCGAATGAAAGCTGAGCAACGCCTAACCTCGTGCTTGGCCTTGCCTGGGGACCTTCTGCTCACAGCCACCTTCCAAGAGCTATAGACTGGCCGTGTGGAGGGTTGTGACCTCTTGCTTCACAGGCCTGGCCTGAGGGGCTCCAGGAGGCCAGCTCTGGGTGACAGCAGATCCCAGCTCCTCCTCTACCCGGGAGCTTGCTGTACAGTCGGAGGAACAGGGAGAAATGGGGAATCCTGCTCCAGGCAGCCAAGCGCAGGAGGCCAACGCCTCTCTTCCTAACAGCCCAGCTCAGGTTGGACTTGAGCTTTCGAATGCAGGTTCCCAGGCCACAGCAGGAGGGTCCAGGCCACGCCCAGGGGAAGGGCGTTAGGGACATGCTGAGATAGGTTTCACAGTGGTTGCCCCGGAGGGAAGACACCAGATCGGTCGCATTCACCAATTTCTGTGGGGCCCCACCACCGCTGATTTCAAGCTGCCACCCTTCCCCAGCGACAGACACTGTGGCATCACACAAAACACCTTCCCCCAAAAAGGGCAGGGATGGGAGCCTGTTCCTACACTGACTGAGCTGCTCTGGAGGAGGGATTTTCTTATCCGGAGCAATAAAAACTGTTGTGCTTCCGAAAACAGCAGACCGCGCCTTCCATGTCTTAGGCTTGGGCTTCCCCAGCTCCTAAGGCAAAGCTCTCACAGAGGATCTGGGGTTCGGGAGACTTAATGGAGCCAATTTAACATGAATGGGGGTGCTCCCGGGCAGAGTCTGGGTTCACAAACTGCCTCAGATCAGAGAAACAGGCCGTGGTCTCAGGAGGGGGAGTTTACTGTATCAAACGGAAGCATCTTTTTCCTCTGGTGTGTGTTTGCTGATACATCCCCAAATGATTTCACCCTAAGTTTACACAAGAAGGGTTTTTTGTTGTTTTTAAACCTGCCATGGGAGGGGGAAACAAAGAAGCATCTCTTTTGAAAAAAGATATGTGAACTTCATCTTGACTTTGAATGCGGGAACCCAATTTCTGGTGGAGAAACGAACCTTGGGGCATCGTGACCAGAGACAGAGACAGAGACAGAGCCTCCCCGACGCCTCCTACCTGTGGACCTTCCCTCCGTAGAAGGGCTTCGTGTGGAATATCACGGTCGCGGAGTACCCGGTCTTGGCACAGTTGATGCTGACTTTCCCTCCGAGCTCCACCCAGGGGATGGTGAGGATGGAGCGGGCGTAGGCACTGGGCAGGGTGAACACGTACTCCTCCCCGTGTTCCAGGAGCCTCAGCACACCTCCGGGGCAAGAGGGGGACATGGTCAGGCAGACCGGTGAGACAAGGGGCCGCTGGGGGTCAGAAGACGCAGGAGAAACCAGGCAGCCCCCTGCCGAGGGCACTGCTCTCCCGCCTCCGCCCAGGCCGGCTGCTCATTCTCACCCATTTATTTCTCATGTGCCCCCCTGCGGGCCAGGCACCGAGAACACAACAGTGAACAGGGCGGACCCTCATGGAGACTCTGTGCAGTCACCCCGTCAGCAGTGCCAGAGCTGAGGACAATGGGGCTGGGGGACTGGCTCTGAGCTGCAACCCTAGGGGATCCACGGCAGAATGAGGCCCCTTATAACGGCATTTTATTGTAGCTAAACACGCCGCAGCCTGAGGCAGTCAGTTAAGAGGTAAGCCCATGTATTTGCACACGAAATTGCAAGGGGATCCATCTGAGATCTAGATTTTAAAGTTGAGTAGGTTGGAAAAATGGTACTTCAGACACAGACAAAAAAATCCATGGCATGTGCTGGGTCCACACAGGAGGAGAATGAGGGAAAGAAAACACTATCTCCCATATCCGGCCCCACCAAGAAGCTGAGCCCAGGAACCAGAACCACTTGTTTTGCAGTATTTTGTTGCCGGGAAATAAGATCATGTGTTACAAGCTGGCACATTAATTAACATGCGGAAGGAGGCAACCAATCCATGTCTCTCCATCTCTCTCTCTCCATTTCTCTCCTCACCCCCCCACCTATTCTCTTCCTTCCACTCTCTCTTAAAAAAATAAAAATAATAAAGGCAATGAGAAAAATATCCTAACAAAAAAGAAAGCTTATTCTCCTATATCAGTGGTCGGCAAACTCATTAACCAACAGATTCGAATATCAATAGCTCAACGATTGAAATCTCTTCTGAGAGCCAAATTTTTTGAACTTAAACTTCTTCTAACACCACTTCTTCAAAATATAGACTCGCCCAGGCCGTGGTGTTTTGTTTAATAGCCACACTCAAGGGGCCAAAGAGCCACAGTTTGCCAACCACTGCCCTATACTAATAAAACTTAATGGCTGGATGACATTTTAAAAGTCATTCCATCAATGAATCGATAAAGCAATCCATCAGCCACAGGGAGGGGGAGCATCCTGCAGAAGATGCGGGCCATCTCCCGCCCCCTTGGGCTTCCGCAGGAACTGAAGGCGGGAACTGCCTAGACGCTCCCCTCCTCCAGCACACGGACGTCTCTCCTCCACGTGACACAGCACGTGGGAATCGGAGGACATGGTGAAATTGAACCCGATGAAATGAATCTCCCAGAGCCCAGGTTCTGTTTTGAAACAAAGGGGAGACTTCACCAGTCCAGACCTGGGGGTACGGGGTGGGCCTTTGCCACCCTCGGAAACACAAGGCCCCAGAGAACTCAACATGGAGATCCACGCCACTCCCGCTCCCTATTACAGTCAGTGCAGACATGAACCTCCCCGGGGTCCTGAGCACTCTCCTCCCTGCATCATCCTCCCTGCTTTCAGCAGGAAGAGCGGCCTGAGTGTTCGCACCCGAGCTCCCTGCTTAGAGCACCGCAGGGTCCGGGACCTGGGCTGACACATGCCCGCTGGGACCTGCCACGCGGCCCTCACCCCCTCAGTGCCGCACCGGGGCAGCTCCCTGCTGGGGTCCGAGAGGAGGCCGAGCTGGGGAAAGTGTCCCTGGGAGAGGCCAGAGATGGGAGCCTGGGCCTCCACCCTTCCCCCTCCAGAAACACCTGCCATCAGTTTACCTTCTCAGCTTCAGGGAAACCGGGCTGCTATGCCCTCCATGGACCCTAACGTCCTCCGGCTGGCCACCCCCTCACCTGTCACCACCACCCCCCCTTTGACATTCGGGGGCGCCTGTGACTCCCACACCTTCTCCAATTCTGGTTTCTCCTTCTGGCTCTTCCTTTGTCACCCCCTTTAGATCTAGGTTTACATGTCACCTTCCCAGTGGGGCCTTCCCAGCTGCGATCCCACCCTAAAGCTCTCTGCTCTCTCTTTCTCCTCCCCCTCTCCCCCGAAGCTCCGCTCTCTGTTTCCTTTTTCTCCATAGCACAACCTTCCAACACAACACACACAACCGTGTTTCCCTCGTAGAACGAAACAGAAGCCGCATGGGGACAGATGTTTTTAAGGGCTGTCTTGTTCATACAAGTGCCCACAGCTCTGAGGACCAGGCCTGCCTTCCAGGAGGAGCTCAGTGAGCATGTGCGAGGTGAATGAAAGGGTTCTTATCTCATGGGAAGGGCTTTCAAGGAGCCTTATACGCCCTGAACTGAAAGCCCAGTTTTGAGTTCGGGTTTTTGTTTTTTGGGGTTTTGTTGTTGTTGTTGTTGTTGTTGTTGTTGTTGTTGTTTTCTGGGAAGTGTGTCTATATCCTTGAATCTCAAAAGGATTTGTGACTCAAAAGAAGGTAAAGAGCTGCTAACACAGAGGCCTGGGTTTCACAAGGATTATTATAGGTTTCTTCAAACAATGCATCGACTTGCTTCACAGCTATTGCCTAACGAGAGGCTGCCCAGGAGGGGTGTGATCGTACTGCACTTGCTTCAGAGCCCGCAGCTCTGAGTCCACAGCTCTGAGTCCGGAGATTGGCTCCGGGAATTTTTATGAGCAGATTGTGAATAGGTACTGGTAGCACTATCATCCTCATTGTCTGTGAGCCCCAACACCAGTGAGAATGAATACAAATGTGTCTCAGGGGGTTGGAGCCAACTCTAATATTCATACAAAGCTGAAAATAAAGCCTATGTGAGGCCACTACACACATGCATATAGCATGTGAAGATGTGGGGGGGAGGGAGGCAGCCGGTTAGGCAAATAGCTACATCCCATCTAGCCCATCACCTTGGCCCCATTGGGAAATTACCAGGATCTGGTCCCAAAATAACAAAACCTGTCCCTCTCCCCCCCCCCACCCACACGCTCACCCAACTCACTCACTCCCCATTCCAAAACAAAATAAAAACAAGGAACTCCACAAGCAAAATCTGCTCTCAGGCATGCAAACGTCCCTGTGGAAGAGTCAACACCGAACCCGGCACGGGACATGGCTTACCTTCTCCGATCATCGAGACCCCCACGGACATGCCCATGAACTTGCTTTTGGTCCATACGTGCGTGTTGATGCACAGTCTCTTCTCCTTGCACTCACAGTAGAAGCAGGAGATGGGCGGGTGATGGGACACCTGCTCGGCCACAAACCGCAGCTTGTAGCTCTCCCCGGGGTCGTCGGCGATCAGGCGCTCGTGGCCGGGAGGCGAGCGGGGGGCGGTCCTCTTGGGCCTGACCCTGTCCCTGGGCACCTCCCAGGAGCAGTGGAACGTCTCGCCGATGATGGGGTTGTAAGGCTTCTTGGCCAGGGCCCCCTTGCGGCCCTCGTGGAAGGCGGTGAGGTAATACTCCACGAAGCAGATGACCCTCTCCTCCGGCGTGGCCGCCGCGGCGACGGCCAGCAGCAGGTCGGGGTGCGCCATGAAGTCCGCGTACATCTCCAGCAGAGACCGCTTCTCCAGGATGAACGTGGGGAGCACCACCTGCGGCAGGAGGGGACACGGTCGGACAGGACCCCCAGCAGAAAGGACAAACAGGCCACCCGTCAAGCAAGTTCACCCGGGCTCCAGCCAGGGGCCAGGGTCTTCCCATTTGTACACAAATGACGAGTTGGGAGAAATCACGCAGAAGAAGCTAGAAGCAGGTGCAGCGGTGGACCGACACCGACCTAGCTTTGATGATCCGAGTGATTTTCCTTCTCGGCCCCTCTGGGCTAAAACAAGGGCCCCTGTCTCTCCACTGCCGTCACTCTGACCACACGGCCCCCCTTCACGCATTGCTGAGTGTGAAGGGAACAGCCTGGAAGGGCTTTCTCATGTTCTTCCTCCATCAGGCACAGCCAGGAGGATGCTCAGTGTGTTCCCACAAACATGGACATGGGGGTTTGCTGGTGGTCAAAGGGGGTCCGGGTAGACCAGGACCCACCATTAGTGAGAGTGTCCATTTGGGGATCTCTGTCAGAAGAGGAGCCGTGAACCCCAATGAGACGCGGGCAGGGTAGGAGGGTGGCCGGCCCCTGGCTGGGGGCTCTAGGAGGCAGGGCCAATGCCAGGCAAATGCCCACAGAGCTGCCGTGAAGAAGAGGAACCGTGAGGGTCAGAAGAAACAAGCATAAGTTTCCAACAAGTAGGCTGGCACCCATTGAGAGTCTTCTGGTCAATGGGCAGCACAGGAATACCCAGGTTGGTTACTGCCCATTGCTGTTGGTAAGTGGAAATCTGAGCGGCTCCAACAGGCATGGGACAAGGAAACTCCTCATTGACACCAAGTGGATCCAAGTGGCCACTCTGGTGCCATATAACCCAAGTGCCTGTAACCCAGCCATTAAGTCACTTAAAGCAAACGAAGGGTGTTCTGGAACTGCGCTGGAGAGCAGGTAGTGCGTGACTCCTGCTGATATGCAAAGGAGAGAGCCTGTTTCTCACCACCCGACAGTGATGTTGAAATGACTAAGTTACTGGGTATCGACACTCCTCCCCGGCAGCCGCATGACACAGCTCTTTTTGGCCTGGAGCACCTCACATTCCTCCTCCTCGTGTGGAATCGCAGGGTTCTGAATCTGGAAGCCTGGCCTTGACCTCTTGGCTCCTCCATGACACCCTCCGAGTGAGGGCAGAGGAGCCACATGAGTTCAAGTTAAAGCTGACCAAGATCATGCAGCTGGTGGACGTTCCCTCCTTATACGACCAGGCCCGCCCTTCCTTTACACAGTCCCTAACTCCCAAGAGAACGTTTGCCCTGATCGTGAATACCCTGGCTTACAGGTCTGTGGCCCTGCCTCCACTTCAGCTCGCTAAGACCCCTCCTTGCCAAGCATCTAGCTATAAAGGAAGACAGATGTCCTGAGAGGAAGAGACAGACAGGCAGGCCTGAGATTAGCAAAGCACCGAGATATCAGAGGGAACTGGAGGAAGCCCGGCCCACCGCAGAGATGAGGTTGGTATCATTTTTAATGTTCTTCTATCTTTCATTTAAAATCTCTGACAGAGGAAAATGGACCCGTGTTAAGCAAAAAAGCAACCAGATGTAAAACTGAACATGTAACACCATCCAAGAATCATAAAAAGACCCTGAATGCTAACCTATCTGTCTTGATGATAGAGCTGAATGGTTTTTATATTTTTTTTCTGGGTATCTTTCTGCTTTGCTTTTATAATGTACTGGAAGATGAAACATTCTTTAAAATACAACCATCAAATGAAAGGAGATTTCCTCATTTCCTTTCTGCCACAACTTGACAAAATTGAGAATCTCAAGGATCTGCGCTGGGAAAGTAATGCCTGCCTCAGAATGGCCTTCAGATGCCACTGTTCCCGCTGCTGGAGGCCCTCCTGTGGGACAGGCCGTCATCCAGCACCACCGCCATGCTCTCCGAGTCTGCTCTTCCCGGCGCTGGCTGTTCTACCCGGGGCCTCCCTCCACAGGTGGCTGATGGCAGAGTAAAGAAGAAAGACAAGCCCACCCGGTGTGGCCTAGTGGGTGAGCATTAACCTATGAACCAGGAGGTCATGGTTTGATTCCTGGTCAGGGCACATGAGTGGAGCACACAGGAGGCAGCCAATCAATGATTCTCTCTCATCGTTGATGTTTCTCTCTCTTCCTCTTCCTTCCTCTCTGAATTTTTTTTTTTTTTTTTAATGCAAAGAGGCGTAATAACCCCACACACTCACCATCTCTCCTTCTCCTGTTTCCCAGGGCCACTCAAGTTCTCCCCTAAGAATCATAGGCCTTAAGTAGCCTGGGAAAACCCATCAAAGAGGCTAAATTAATTAGAAAGAAAAGTCACAAATGTCTACATCATCAGATTATCCCCAAATCACTCCATGTCCTAATCTCTCCCTTCCAGGGCCCAGGGGACCCTCTGATCAGGAGGAAAGCCAGAAGGGAGCAGGCAGGATTACAGCGAGGTGGTCAGCCCTGACACGCAGAGCTCCAAGTGAAGGTGGTTCCACCATCCTGACACGTGCATGGCCACCTTTAAGACAGTAGGGAGGGTCCTCACTGCCTTATGACCCAGCGATTCCACTTCTGGAAATTTATCCGAAGAAACTCAAAACACTAATTGGAAAGAATTTATGCAGTCCTATCTCATAGAAGTATTACTTATAATACTCAAGATATGGAAGCAACTCAAGTACCCATCAATAAATGAATAGATATATGTAATATATATCGTATCTAATAAAGAGGAAATATGCTAATTGACCCTCATGCTGTTGCAAAGATAACAGCACCCACAGCCAATAAGAAGGGGATATGCTAACTGACTGCTCTACCGTCAAAGATGGTGGCACCCACAGCCACAAGATGGCGGTGCCCAGTCTCCTCAGCTCCGCCAGGGCAGCAGGCACTCAGCAAGGCCAGGCCCACCTACCTCCAGAGTTCCCCAGTCCCCTCAGCCCCCAACCACCCAGGGCCAGCCCAAGGCACAGGCAAGCCTCAGATGACAGCTACCCGGCTGCCCAAGACTCAGGTAACCAGGGCCAGCCAAGGTTTGAGCTGCTGGCAGTGACAGAAGCAGAGGTATGATGGGGCATCACCTTCCCCTGATGGCTGGGTCGCCTCCTGCCCCTGAGGGCTCCTGGACTGTGAGAGGGGGCAGGCTGGGCTGAGGGACCCTACCCCCTCCAGTGCATGAATTTTCATATTAAAAAGAAAGAAAGGGCATGCATAGTGAGCCCTCTGGAGAAGTACAGCTGTAGCTTCCTAACTGGCCTTCACTTCCTGTCATGCCCACCCTTACTTCTCTCCGTATCGCAGCCAGAGTCTTCTGTCTGCCATCTCTACAAGAGGTAAGGTTGAATCTGGCCCCCACCTCCCTCTTGTCTCACATGACCTGACCCATCACTTTCGGCCCCCAGCCCTCCCCCTTCCAAGCGCCCCCATCCACCCGTTTCCCTGTCCTGCCCTCTCTCTGCCTTGTCTAAATGACACAGCTACTCAGCTCAAGAGTAACCTCTACGAAGCTTTTCCCAACAGCTCCTGCTGCCAAGACTAAACCAACAACCTCCTCCTGCAATCTTCACTGAGCCCCACACTCATCTCCATCACAGCACCCACAATGCTCTTTTGGCTCTTATTAAAACTATAAAGAGGATTGGGACGATCTGGGGAACTCTTACATGGGCCATAGATGAAACAGTTTGGCAGCAATGTTAAATTTCCCAAGTGTGACAAATGTCATGTGTGAGAGGAATGTCCTATTGTTCGAGGATACTCATTACAACACACTCCGAAAGGGTTCATGAAAAATGCACACATACTCACAGATACACACAGAGGGGGAGAGAGGAAAATGGAAAGAGGCAGTGGAGAAGGAGAGAGGAAGGAAGAAAGGAGAAATAAATACCAAGCAGCAAAATGTTAACTGGCCAATAAAGGCAATCCGTGGAAGATCACTGTACTATTTTTGCAACTCTGCTGTAGATTAGAAAATGTACAATAAAAAAAAAAAAATGGAGGAAAAAGAGAAAAAGGCTCTACTGCAGCACCTGAGAACTTACCCATTTTCCAAGACAACCCTCCCGAAATTACAGACTCCGGGAGTGTGACCTCACAGCCTACACCATGCCCAGCCCACTAGTTTTGTTTCTGCTCTTGACAATGGCGCTGAGGCTTTGTCTGAGATGGGAAAGTGAATGCCTGGGGAAATGGAGCTGATGGGCTGGGCGTGGGGTGACTGTTTCCCCTTCCATCCTTTCTCAGTGTGTTTGGATGATGTTTTTGTGCAGAACACCAGACAGCTGCCTTTCAAAACCAGCACCTGGAACGTGCTGGGCAAGACACCACACTTTTCACTGAAGCAGATTTCTCTCTCTCTCAAATGATCTGCCTTCGCAAATAAGTCACTTCATCATCTGTTTCTTGGGTGGGGGACCCCAGAGCCGGAGCCAGGAATGGGTGAGTACTAATTGGGCTGTCTGCCTCCCACAGAGAGGTGAGTGATGGCCCAGCTGTACCGATGACGGCATCCAAATGGCTAGAATCAGGGCCGCGGATTTATGGAGCCATCAATAAGGGCTGCCTTCTCTCCCATTAACATAATTAAGACAATGAACTACTTTGGGGAAAGGAAGAAAAAAAAAAAAGAGAGAAGATCTACACTTGGGACTCAGGGAACAATTAATTACATTTACAGCTGCATCAATCTAGAGGTAAATCACCAATCTTCAGGCAGGGCCCTAAGAACTTTGAAGTAATCCATCGCCCACCAGGAAAGTCAGAGTGCCCCCAGAAAGAGGGGCGGTCCCTTCCCCCCATCAGGAAAGGAAGGCCCTGAGCGGGTGCAATTTTCTCCAAAGAATCATCCGGTAACTTAATAACCCTGAGAATTCCCTACATTACACAAAGCCCTATTCTCACCCTGGCAAACCTACCCAGTGCCAATAAGCACACAAAGAGAGGCCAAGGCCACCCTCTGAGATGGATCTGTATAATCCTTTAAGGAAACAGGAGAAATACACACAAAAGCCCAACCTGACTGCATAAAGGGCAGGTCATTCGCTGCCAGGAAGGGTTAGTGGCACCTGTACCCACCAGCGAGTTTGCTTCTCTACACGTGGACAATGGGATTGAGTCACCAGGAAGGTTGCCTTCTGGGGACCAGCTGTGACAGCGAGTGACAGCAGCAGCAGGTCACACATCCGTGTGCACAATGGCCTCGCTCTGGCTCCACTGTTTTGCTTCCTCCTGGTTTCTCCCTGTGCCCACTGTGTCATAGCCATCTCTGTAGGCCAGTGGTCTGCAAACTGCGGCTCGAGAGCCACATGTGGCTTTTTGGCCCCTTGAGTGTGGCTCTTCCACAAATGCCATGGCCTGGGAGAGTCTATTTTGAAGAAATGGTGTTAGAATACTCAAGGGGCCAAAGAACTGCATGTGGCTCGCGAGCCGCGGTTTGCCAACCACTGCCATAGGCCATCTGTAGCCTTCTCTAGGACACAGAGGAAATGAAAGTCTCCTCTCCTGACATTCCCTTATCATCTCCTATGCTTTTCTGACACTCCCCTGCCCTGTCACCTTGCAGCAAATGCAAGGCGCACGCTCTGGGGATGAGCATGAGTCTCCTCCCCAGTAATTCCTGGACTAGCCAGACTCGGCTGCAACTCTGAGCTCACCCCCTCGGCTTTCCTGGCCTCCCCATAAGGAAAAAATGATGAGCCGGGAAGACGGAGAGGTAGACGACATCCAAACAACTGGCCACGCACCCAGGGGGACAGGCACACCTACCTTGGTCAAATCCATTCCAAGTTTGAGCTGCGAGATGAGATGGAGAATTACACTGCGCTGATCCTCCATGACGCCCAGTTCTGCCTCTTCCTTGTCTTCAGTGTCACTTTTTTCATCTTCGGACAAAACCAATTCAGGGCCTGAGTTCGGCTACAAAAAGATCATCAATAAAAGTCAGCAGCGGTCCGGGGGAAGGGAGCAGCACAGCACGCGAACCCATACGCTTGGCAATAATGGAGGGAGCCCGCTTCTGCCCCAGGAAGAATCTCTCTCTAAGCCAGTCCTATTGGCCACAGGGTGGAGGATGACCCTTTTTGGGATGCAGGCCATCCTGAGCTACTGCACATGCCCTCCAATCTCCCCATCACATCCTATGAGTGAGTCTTCTGGCCTAAGGAGATCCCCTGACAAGAAAGCTCCCTGTCTTTAAGAAACTAACATTCAGGAATGAGCCCCCTTAACCTTGGCCACTCCCAAACAATATTCTATTAACTAGCACAACCCAGGACACTTTATATCTAATACAATTTTTTCTGTGTTTAAGGGAAAGGTCTGATACCCCAGGGACCGGCTAAAATTACCTTATTTTGTGAGAAAATGTACCCTTGACTGTTTTACATCAATTAATATCACAACAGTACATGTGAAAAGTGAGTTGGCATTCATCTAGGGACGGAGGCAAAAATGAGGTCAAGACCAACTCAGAGGCTTTGTAAGAATGCTGAGGTCCATGCTGGCCACCAGACCCTGCTTTCCTCATGCAAGTTTATTAATGCAATTGCTCAGCTCCATTTTTCCAAGGACATAGAAATCAAAACAACAACAGGCAAGTGAATAAACAGAATGTGCAGAAGGGAATGACTGCACACAAAGTTTTCAAGACCCAAGACCCAGCACTCTGGCGACCGTGTCGAGCTGTCTGCAGAACTCTGTTGAAAAAAGTAACCACTGCACACTTATCTGTGTCCGTATGGTACTTGTTTACATGTAAACAAAAACACTGCACACAACATTATACCACTGTTCCTAAGGACTGCCAGACACAGTGACGTCAGCATACAGAAGTGAAGGCTCAAAGATATTACCTATAAAAGCATACAGACTTGCCCCAATGTCCATGAAAAAACGAACGGTTTATAAATCGCACTGGACAGAACTACCTCATTTTATTTGAAGGCACTTCCAATCCGCAAAGGTGATCTCAGTGGTTGAGGTGGTTGTAACTGTCTGGCCGAACGGACACGTGCCAGCCCTTCCTTGCAAGCACCCAGAGGAGACACGGTACACCCCCTGCCCCAGGTAGGCATTTTTTAAATTGGAAATTAAACAAGCCTTCTCTGAGTAACCCCACATCTGGGCCGACAGTGGGGCCGCCTCAGTGATGTCCAGGGGTCTTTCCCCAGCCCAGAGTTGGGTTTCCTCCAGAGCGTGTCTGGCCTCATCGCAATGTGTGGCATCATCGGCAAGTGATTGATTTCAGAGAGGAGGGGAGAAGGGGGGAGAGAGAGAGAGAGAGAGAGAGAGAGAGAGAGAGAGAGAGAGAGAGAGAGAGAGAGAAAGGGAGGGAGGGAGGGGGAGAGAGGGAGAGGAAGAGAGGGAGAGAGAGAGAGAGAAACATCAAGGATGAAAGAATCATCAATCGGTTACCTCCTGCTCGCCCCACACACAGGGCACGCGAGCCCGCAACCCGGCCATGTGCCCTGACCTGGAATCAAACTGTGATCTCCTGATTCATAGGTTGACGCTCAACCACTGAGCTATGCCAGCCAGGCAGTTGCTGCTTCTTTGTGGTGACCTGGTAGGCGGTAATTTGTTATCAACAGACTTCCCCGCAACCCAGGGCAGCTTGCGGAGGCAAGGATGATGCCTGGGCATCTTGCTTTGGGAGAAAGGGCGCGGGGGTGGCAGGCAAAGTCCTTAAACATCTCAACAACAAAGGTAGCTACATTTTGAGAGCAATTATTTCTGCTTGAAATGAGTCGTTCTCACAAAGTACTGATTGCAAGCTAAACAAATCAATCGCTCCGGTGAGGCAGCCATAAGCTTTCTGAATTAAAGAATGATCCATTCTTCTGAAAATGGGATTTCCCATTTGCCCACAAGCCAGTACACAGAGAACTCCCATCCTGCCCGCTCAATGCCCCACTCGGTGCCACGTGCTCACAGACCACCTGGGACCGCCACTGCCTCCTGCTGTCGGCCTGACTTGAAAATTAAGCCCAGCTCATCCCCCATTCCAGTAACCAAGGAAGCCTTCAGCAAGATCCGGCCACGTGACACGAAGAACGTGCATGAAGGTGCACACGAGCCTCTCCAGCCCTTACCATCACACACAACATCACATTTCCTCTGTGTCTGATGATGACTCTCAGAGACACTGGCTCCAGGAGAGAGAAGGAGGGCTGGTATACGGGCCCCAGAAACCAGGGCCAGAGCTCCTGGGGACCTGAAGTCCTGCCAAGGGAAGAAAGGCCGAGGGGAGCCCGACACCCATCTGCCTCCTTGGCTCAGATCCTTAGCAAGCAGTGCCCTAAGCTGAGACAAGGATCCAGCAATAGTTCTGTCTCCCAGAGCTTCTGAGAGCTTGCCCTTTCTCTTATAGGATGGTTTGCAAAAAATCCTCCTGCCCATACTCAAGTAAACAATCAGGGGCTTAAAAAACAAACAAACAAGCAAACAAAAACAACAACAAAAAAAAACCCCTGTTTCATTCACCACATTTTTAGTGAACATCTTGGAACAGTGGTCACCAATCGGTGGTCCATGGACCACTGATGGTCCGTGAGGCCTGAAAGGTTGGTGACTGCTGTCTTAGAGGATACCCACAATTCCACCCTCACTGGGACTCAGTCCTTTGCAGAAGGTGAGACCCTCTGTTTTGGGTCCAAATTGAAGGCATTGCATGGATAGAACTGTGGGTCTCAGTTCGAAAGGTGTCCATTGGCAACGTAAATACGTCAACACCCACAAAGCACATGATAGCAAGCACTGCAAGAAATGGAGGGTTTGGTCCAGCCCATGTGGCTCAGTGGTTGAGCATCGACCTATGAGCCAAGAGGTCACAGTTCAATTCCCAATGAAGGCACATGCCTGGGTTGCGGGCTCAGTCCCCAGTAGGGGGCGTGCAAGAGGCAGCTGACCAATGATTCTCTGTCATTATTAATTTTCTATCCTCTCTGCCTCTCCTTTCCTCTCTCTGAAATTAATAATACTAGTAATAAAAGAAATGAACAGACAGGCTTGGGGAAAAGTTTTAAAGACAGAAAGCCTTCTTCCCTTTTGGGGTCAAGGTTTGTCGATTCTGCTACTCTGATGTAAAATCCAAAACAGCGCTAATGGGCACTGGCTCTCAGTCTGTTCTCCATAATCAGGCCCATGTGCCCATCTGCGTTTTCACCCTCCCTCTCCCAGGGCTCTGTTACTGTCGGGGGCATCCCCACATGCCCACACCCTGTGATCCCTATGGATTTCTGCTTGTAAAGTGATGACAACTGCCTTGAGGTGGTCAAATGAGAAGTGGTTTTATGATGCTGAGAAAATTCATAAGACTTAAGAAGAATCTTTAAAGACCCCATTCCCCAGAGATCTTTGCAAATGAGCCAGCCAGCTCAGCCATAAAAATGTACCCAAACTTGAAGATAAAATGGAATTAAAATGTGTCTGAAAGAGAAGTAGGCTTTGGAATAATGAGGTTCTTAATAAAAACAAAAATTATGACTCAGTATTTCTACCATGTGAACAACTCGGGGCTACAAAAATCAAGCGACTCATCATGCCTATTAGCAAATGCGGGTGAGGACAAGAAATCTGATGAAGCACAGAAGGCCACGTGGCAGGCTGAGATTTGGGGGCCACTGCTTGGTAGCTTTGCGTGACCTGTGCCCCAGAACAAGGGTTCTTAATCTGGGCCCTACGGACACTCCTTAAGATATCTATCACAGCCCTTGATGTTTTATATAAAAATTGCATGTCTGGGCATTTTTCTGGAGACAAGGGATCCCTGCTGATCTTGGATACTTAGAAGAGTGTCTGGCCCTGGGCTGACCTCGGGGCCTCTCAAGAACCAAAGGGTCTGAGATCCTGTAAGGGGGAGAGACTCTTATGGTAGGAAGCTGTCCAATCAGACAGTCTGAGCATCTGCAGATGCACCCCTGCCCTTAACCACACCGCCACTTCTCACCCAGCAGGGGGCAGCACGCCCACAAAACTAGGGTGAGGCCCAAACCAGAAGCAGAAGTGTGACTGTGTTCAACAACAGTCTTCTCCAGGGGCACACCATTGTAGGGGACTCTCTTTAACAAAAATCTGATTTTTTTTTTTTTCAATACAAATGTAACTTCCAAGCAAGACTGGCATTCCAATCTACTTTATTCAACACACATATGTAATTTAACTACAGTTTGGGTCAGTTCCAGGAAAAACCAGGAAACAGACATTTATTTTCAGAGTCCATTCATTTCCTTACCGCAGGCCTCACTACCCCCCCCCCCTCAAATCTATTCCCCTTTCTTGAGCCTCACTGCTATTTTCCTTTTCTCAGACAGATGGCGCACATCCGATCCATTCTTCTTTCTCCACAATGACCTTTTCTTCTTTCTTAACCAAAACCTGGCGTTCAGAGAAGTGCAGCCAATAATGTATAAGCAGTTTGACCTACTAATGTCCTCTTGACTTATCCATGTCTATTAGCTTAGGGTCTTCACTCCAAGGGCTGAATCCTCCCTCAGAGTTGAACCATTTGGGGAGAGGCCTGTGGGGTGGCATAACCAAACTCTAAAGAAGCCCTTTTCCTGTTGAACAGGGAGCAAGTCCATGCCAGAGCCGTTACATCACAGACATGCAGGTGCCAGGGGGTCTACACGGACTAAGGAGGCTCCTACAGCGTGGTCTTCTGCCCAAGTCAATAAGCATCATCCGCCAAACCAAACACACAGAATTAAAGTGATCCGTCACTATCCTGAAAGTCCACCTGAGCCAGGACAGGAAACACAGCCAGGGAGAGCAAGAACATCCAATTCTCCTCCGGCAGCGAGCACACTGCAGTGCCATCGTTTTAAAGCCTGGCATCTCTCCACGCACACGGCTTCCTTGGCATGGAGGCATGAGGCAAACTGAGCCACACCAAAGAGCCTTGCTACTGAAAGACAAAA